GCCATAAGATTATCATCTTTACCCTTATTCTTTGAACCATCATAATCATTTTAATCCCATAAATATTGTAGTAAGCATTTATTTTTGGCCATATGAAAATATTTTCTTTATGGTGACTTTAATGAACTTAATATATTATTATATTGTTGGTTTTGGAGACCTATAATATAATAATGATAATAACAGTAACAGTGAACATTTATGTAGTGAATATGTCTATGATACGTCACATTTATTCGGAATGTTTTACTGTTTTGATCCCCATTTTACGGAAATGGTGAAGTAGGTACAATTTGATCCCCATTTTACAGAAAATCATCTATCTGAAGCCTTCCTCAGACAGCCACACCTGAAGGCCACTGACCTTATTCTCTGTCCTTGGTCTAACACGACTTCATATTCTGATAGTTCTCTGTGTTCTTCTTGTATGCTAATGCCCCAGCTGTAGATACAACCAGGCTAAGTGTATAAATTCAGGCCCCCAGGCCTCAAACCCACAGAAGTGGAAACTAGCAACCTCTTTATGTCTTTTCAGTTTTTAGCCCCAGAGCTTGTCCATGAGCCACTAGAATGGACAAGAATACCCTTGGTAGAATTTTCTCCAGTGTAATCCAGAAACCCATCTATTTTACCCTTTCTATCCCATTTGAAATGCCTAAAACAAAATCACAGCAGAAACCACCTCCTGAAAAGACAGGACATGGTTTATACACGTTTGTTTCAAGTTGTTTCTGCAAAATTTAGGTAACTTGAAATTATTTAATCGTACTTAATTTCCTGTAGGGGGATGGGGAAATTTCCATCATAATTTGAGACAAGTGGCAGTTTTGCCTCTGGCAAATTTAAATGAGAAAATGAATGCTGGGATCCCAACTGCCTCATGAATGCACATCTGTGCCCACAGTCTTAATCAACATCTTTGTTTCTTTTCTTTTTTTCTTGTAGCAGCTGTAACAGCCTCAGGGTCACCTGCCCACATGATACAGTGACATTTGCACAGAGCAAGACCCACATGCTTTCTCAATTGAATTGCTGTAAAGCACTTAGGCCTCTTCCGAATGGCCACATAGAAAAGGGCCTAATCCTTAGAATAAAGTGATGCCCAGGTTTAGAGCTCAAGCTTCTTAAATTTTTCTACTTGACTGCATTGATTTCCTCCATGATGCCCCTATCTCTATGATTTCTTATTCTCATCTTCTTCTGTCTCCTGTCTTCTCTAGCTGTTTAATCCATTTCATAATTCAACTCAAAAAAGGCCAAGAATGAGGTTTATAAGAGCAAATAGTTATTTAGTAAACTTATAAAATATTCACATATGCCAGGAATGGCTGAAATTGTCCAGTAGATTTATTTACTCCACCCTACAGTGTTCAAAAAATGATTTTTTGAATTCGAATGTCTTTGGACCTTGCACATGCTTGCCAGTTTGCCACAGTCCCCACCATTCTCTGTTGTATTTCACACCTACTTTGTATATTTTTATCATTGGCCTGGTTTTAGAATCAGTCTGGTCCCTTCTTGAACTCTAATAAGGCTTTTCCAGTCTGCCTCCTTGGGAATCTCATGTATGCAATTTAGAATTCTGGAGTATTAACAAAAGACATTGCTACTTTGCCTTTATTTACAATCAAATGGAAGGAGTTGTTAAAGCAAACAAAAAATATAAATACAGTACTCATTTATAAAAAGCAGTTAAAGAAAATAAGAGTTGTATTCACTGCTAGGAATGTTATATGATACCAGCAAGTAAATCTTACTGATTTACAATGGGATTCAGTATATTTTGTGTGTAACTTTACAGATTTCACTTAGGTAGTTAATTCTGACTAAGGGAGCAAATAAAGCCTGAAACATTGCTGGAGCCAAAAATGACAAAACTGAAGTTATTCTACTTCGAGCACATCATGAGAAGGCAGCGTTCTTTGGAAAAGACAATAATGCTGGGGAAAATAGAAGGCAGCAGGAAAAATGCAAGACCAAATATGAGATGGATTGACTCTGTTAGGAAGCCATAGGCACGAGTTTACAGGAGCTATGAGGGCTGCTGAGGACAGGGCATTGTGGGCATCACTCATTTACCGGGTCGCCAGGAGTCGGAGCCAACTCAATAGTCGTAACAACATTGGAGCTTTAGCTTGTTCATGAGATTCTTGAAGCTGTTGGATAACTGGATAGTGGGCCATTTACATGCATATTCTCAAGTGTCAAACTCCTTTTCCAGGTTATTCCGTGTTTCTTTCCATGTCTTTTTTGTTGTTGTTGTTGTTGTTGTTGTTGTTGTTGTTGTTGTTGTCGTTTTTGTTTTTAAATACCATATTTTGTATCCTTAGGATGGCCGTAGTTCTCATTTGGGCTATGGACACATCTGCCTGTCAAATTCTGATGACTAGTACTGAATCTGGGAGATTCTAAATTGTTTCCTCTTTTTAAAAAAAAAAACCCTCTCTTTTTTTCCGTTTCTCAGCAGATATATGGAGTGATCACTCGTTTCAGACTGATCCAGATTTGCCTCCTGGCTGGAAAAGAATCAATGACATTGCTGGGACCTATTATTGGCACATACCAACAGGAACGACTCAGTGGGAACGCCCTGTCTCCATCCCAGCAGATCTTCGGAGCTCTAGGAAAGGGTCACTTAGTTCTGTAACATCATCTCCCACCCCAGAGAACGAGGTAAAGTGGAGTGTCTTTTTAACGACTTAGTAGAATGGATGTGTCTTGTGATTTCTCTTTAGACTCATTGCTTCTGCCCCAACAGGTCATCAAGGTAAGCTTTTCGATTATCATGCATGTTGCATTTGAACCCTCCAGTAAGCTTCCTCTTAGTAAATAGTGTTAATACCATCTTTCAGGGGTGTTTTCATTTTTTAGTGGCTTTTCACCTCTTGAAACATCATTCCAGGTACAGAAAGTAAGAGGGGCTGATTAATGAGAAATGGTTAAGCTTCCACAGGGCTCACAGAGGCAATATTTTACTCTGTAGGTGCCATTGCATGGTGCTGACTCTGTAAAATATTTACATACAGAAGAATGTCTCTTGACCAGACATCTTATAATTATTGCATACCCTATTATCCTTGGGTTCATTTGATTGCATGGAAAGGATGTCTGTAAGAATAACACTTGGCATCCCTTAAATGCTCAATTTCTATTTTTTTTAAAAGGATGTGTTTATTTAGCCAAAGTGACATTATTTTAGAAATAATGAGCAGCATAAATTTTTGCTATCCTTGAGGAAAATCTGAATGTTTAAACAAAGAATTGAGGCATTAAAAAAATTCTGTTGTGGTATTTATTAATTTAAGATTCCTGTAGTGAACCTTTTTGAATCCTGATAACAAAATATTCAAGAGAATTACATTTAGAAAAGGTCAAAATTAAATAATGGCTCTTTTTGAGAAAAGTGGTTTGATTGCTAACACCAAAACATTTCTACCATTTTCTGATCGCAACCTTTTTTTCTTTAAACAACCCATTTTCTTTTACTTTGGGGTTATGGATGGCATTTGAACTACAACTCTTACCTACAAAGCTTCCCTATATATTTGCAACTTTTATCACCTTTTCTGTAGGAAATAAGGAAAAGACATCTTGTTCCCTTCATGTTTGATTATTTACTTGCTGTCCTCTGGGCGTGCGTAAAAACTACCTTCCAACTACATCCTGCGTTACTGGCCTTCAGTATCTCACTTACCCTACCCGGACCTCAAATTCTCCATCTTTAGAGTGATAGATTAGGACAAGCTGTACCTTCATTGGTAGACAGGGGCTTCAGTTTGTTGGTATTTTGCCCTGATAATCAGGCACATGTTTCGGTTCCACTGAACCACATAAGATTTTGTTGCTTATCATTAGGCGATTTTGATAACTTTTTACTGAAGCATCATATTCCTACTCCTTGAGCAAATTCTACTCAGTCTTCTATTCCTCTTGTATTAGGTGCACTAGGGAATAAAGATGAACCAGCACAGCCCTGGTGCTCAAAGAGCTTAGCATGGAGTGGAGTCTTCCCTCTTCCTAGCCCTGCCCAGTTGCATCTCGGCATTTCTCCCTAGCCACAGAGTGGCCTCCCAGAAGCCAAGCCATCCGGAGTGCAGCCTCTGCTCTCACTAAGGCACAGACATCCTCTCTCTTCCTTAGGTATATATCTTTGCTCTTGGCATCTCTGTTAGAATCACTTTTTCCATTCCAGGGCTTCATTCCCTTGTTGCAACCTTTCAGCCATTTTCACCAATGGAAAGTGACTTATAATCAGAGAATGCCAGGGTGAGAAGGGATCATCTGATACCAGTTTCCAGACATTATAGACAGGGAAACTGAGTCACAGAAAGGTCAATGACCAGCAGCAACACTGGGTCGAGAACTCAGAGTTCCTGAATTTTCCTAAATTCTAGGTCGGAGTTCGTGTTACTCAACTTCCCTGGCTTTGGAATTTCAGCCTACTCTGCTTTCTCATTGTCCCAGAAATGAGGAGATTAGAGTAATTTTGAGATACTGTTTCTGTTCAATGAATCTCTTGTCCTCTGGATGTGGGAGAAATTAAATCCTTTTTAAAACCTGCCTCCTGGGGCCAGGATGTAGGTGTGGTGGTGTCCAAAGAAGGCATCCTGAGGTTTATGTGGCTCAGATTTTTATTTCTTTGATTAACATGCAGCACAAGCGGGCAGTTGGCTCTCGGGAAAATTGTAGCAGAGTCCACCTGTAATGCCTGAGCCTCCTTCTAATGCCCACTTTTTCCCATCCTTCCCCCTCCCCATCCACTGCTCAAGGTCCCTTCTCATGGCTCTTGCGCCCCGCTTTCTCTCCTAGAGATCAGTGTTTCCCTCACATACCCTCAGCGCTCAGCCTCTAGGCTGCTATCCATGACTTGTGGCTTCCAAGGTATTTTTATAAATGTCCTTTCCTTGGTTCCTTCAAGACTCTTAATGTGGCGGAGGAGACAATTATGTTCTTTATTTAAGAAAAGAGGTCACTGAGGTTTATGGAGTTGAGTAACCATGCAGCTGGCGTTGGGGTGAACATATGTCTAGTTCTCGGACTCCAGATCCTATGGTCTTCCCAGTACCGTGTGAACTTCCACCTTCCTTTTGGTTCTCTTCCACTCTCCTGTTGCTAACTATGCCAAAATCTTATCCCTCCAACGAGCTTTGTTAATAAATATGTAGTTTTTGAAGTTTCAGAGAGCAAGAATGACTGATACCCATCACTTTAATAAGGGTTAGATGTTCTTTAGATCAACCTTTCAATTGTTTGCTTCATACAAATTTTTCCCGTACATAGGTCCATCCATTAAGTCAAAGAACCAAACAGATTTAAAAGGCAATAAATTAAAATCATAAGGGCAAAGGGGTAAGCAGGTAGAGAAAAGAGGAAGGCAAGAGTTGGGGAAAAGACCTGCCAAAACCCAGGATGCCCAGATGCTGAAACAGATATTAAATCAGGGGCACTAATGGTAATTGAATGAATACAATGCCAAGCTCATGCCTTATCTCCTTACTCTTCATAAGACCTTATGCATCTGGTACTATAGTTGTGAGATTTTTGTACATTTGACAACATGAAGGCACATAGAGGTGAAGGAGCTTGCCCAAGATCACTCTTCTAATCCACGATGGAGTCAGACTTGAATGAAGATCTGTAGTATAGTATGTATCAGAAGACTTGAAGAGCCTCGAATCTCTTCACCTCACTTCAAGAGAGGGCTGTGTCACATGCAGAGCCTTCTAGAAAATGACTTCTCTTGAAAACGTTGTCTCAGGTGCTAATAACAGTTGAAGAGAAATAATTATTTTTCTGATACCATTTCTTTGATCCCTAAATAGAGTCTATTTAAACTAATTTACAAACATTAGAAAAAGCAAAATATTAAGGGAGAGAGGAAATTTATAATATGTTGTGTTAGAAATGCATATTTTATTCAGCTTTTCCCTGTGCGGGCTTTAAAAAAAAAAAACTCAAATAAATAAGTGCCAAATCTGTTGACTAAGCTTCACAAAAGTTTAGGACGGAAGGCTTCCTTACAGTTTGAAAATTTTACATATCACATTCCAAAATTTACTGGGGAAGTGTTAAGCACAGCGGATAATGTTTCCTCTGCACGTGCCAGCAGCATTTTTGAAAGTTTATAAACTGGCCAGGAAGCATTTGCTGCTGAATTTGGCCCATGATCGTCTCCCCACATTCCATTGATTTGTTCCAAATGACTTGGATGTTGAATTTTAGAAGAGGGAGCAACGCGAAATATTTTTATGAATAACCGTTAGCCCATAGGCAGCAGTTACGGAGGCAAGTCTTTTTTATAATCTTTCCAACTGGAGGTGTTTCTCACTTCCCTAATATGGAGGAGAAAGTGGGTCTGAAGCGAGAGAAGGCCGAGTTGTTTCTCTGGACTGTGATCTCTTCGTGATCATGATTCACTCTGTTCTTGCTGCATTTGTTTGTGTTGTCTCTGGGAGCCCTGAGCAGCTAACTCTCTAGGAGAGACAAAATCCATATATTACGTTAGAACCTGTGGATTTTCATAGACACTTAAAATTAAGATGACAACACAAAGGGGCCAGTTTGTCATTTTACTGAACTTCTTGACCCGATCAAGGGCCTAGCAAATGCTATGACCTTTCTCAGCCTGGATGAGCCGAGGATGACCTCCAGGACTTGTAGCACATGCTGATTTCTTTATCTTGTCCCAGGCTGCAAGGCTAGATTTTCTAAGGGCGGGGCCTAGGAATCTGCCTTTATCAAAAGCTTTCTAGTTGATCCTATGCTAAGTAAGTATAAGAGTTGCTCCTCTAGTGAATCACTTCTCCCTGTTTTTATCTATATGTCACTTCTTTTGGCTTCATACTAGCATCTCCTGAGAATTATGGATCTCATACTTCTGCTGTGAAAGACCTTTATTCCATAGTGTCTCTTTACAGTATTATTACTTGTGGCATGTCAGTCTTCCTCCTGGGGGATGAGGACCTATCCCCCTCATCTTGTGTCCCCAGTATGTGGCACTGTACCTGGCGAAGTTCATTCAATGTTTGCTGAATGAAGGAATAAACCAACTGCATAGCCGAGGGAGTGAGCTGACTCACTGTTGCGGCAAACCTAGCACGAGAGCCCTGCCCTAGTCACAGTTTATACATAAAGCTGCTGCTCATGGAGACTTATTACACAAACATTTGTCACTCTGTTTACTAGTTTGATAATTTTTACTTTGCTTGATTGTGTTTGCATGGTAAACCATAACTCTATTATAGTGTTGCATCCAACAAAATACAGAAAGTGTTTTAAAAAGAAGGAAAAATATGCACCATATATGGATGCAAAGATCATTAACATGGCCTGGCCTATCCCTTAGAATTCCAGAATTCCAGGTGCTCTGCTGTTTATCATTAGGGCCACACATACCAAGGCTCAAGTCTTGACAAAAGAGGATTAAGAAGCATGATTCATAACATTTTGTAGTCCATAGGTCCCCAAACTTTTTATCCTTACAAATGGCTTCATTTTTATTTTTATTTTTATTTTTCCCTTGGAAAGAGTAGAGGATAAGGAAACTGGCATTTCCTGGGCACCTTTGGGTAGCCGGTCTCTGTGCTAAGGGCTAAGGTTCTTGATCTCACTTTGTCCGTGCTGTGAAGGGATGTCTTCTTAGCCGTGTTGGATATATGAGGAACTGAGGTCACAAAGCAGATGAGAGTTAAGGCAGAATTTGAACCCAGGCTTTCCAGCAGGCTGCGTTCACTTCAGAACTTCTGTCAGATGATACAATTATAACTTCTGTCAAAGCCACCATGGAACAATCTGTCTAGTGCTGTCTTCTCTGCCTGGTTCTCAGCAGGCTCAAGCCTCCACTCTTGCTCTCTAGTTTGCATTTTGATACCACTTCTAGAGACTTTCTTAATTCCCATAAGGACTTTCCTAACCCCTCAAAGCTCATCTTCAAGAACAACTCCAAGATTAGCTTTTTTCCCAGCAATAGGACAATGCATCCTTTTTTGTTTGGTTTGTGGAATTCTTTTCCAAGATCTCAGAAGAGAAATATGAAAGAAGAAAACTCTCAGTAGTTAAGGTTATACAACTGAATTCTCTTAGTGGGTCTGCCCTCATACAGCTCCTGCTGCGTGGTCATGAAGGGTATCCTGCTCTGTCTCTGAGGAGCTAAGGCTCCAGGGCTCTCCTAGAACTGAGCATGATTATCATAGTCAGGGTCAGGGGTGCTGCAGCCTGGGCAGGGTCAAGACAAGCACCAGGAGAGTATATCCCCAGCTGTAACTGGCACCAGAACGTTACTTAGCTGTGCAAGGCTGTAGCTCCATTGCCCGAAAGATTACCAGCTGGGAGGCCATTGCTCATGGAAGATGGTCTCTGTTCTTTCTGTACTACCCTTTTTCCCTGTCTTTGTGTCTGTCTTTCCTGAGGCATATTGCCGCACCTGCCTTTTCCTTTCGTTGTCTTTTGTCTTTTCTTTCATTTCTTGCTCCCACCACCCAGACTAAAGACTGGGGCAGCTACAGACCTTCTGTAAAACCAAATAATTTCTGTTGGGTTGTTTTTTTAAAAAATATTTATATATATTTATTAGCTAAAATGTTGCATTCGCTCAATTTAAAAAAAAATTAGATAAATAGAATATGTAGTTCTTAAAATTTAAAACAAATTGTTTTTGTCTTTCATGGTCTTTAATTTTAAAAAGAAAATTATGGTCATTTATGGAAGGTAAAATTTTTTTAAATGAATATTTTTAAATATAGAAGGAAAAAAGATTTTGACCTAATCATAACATAAAATGTTAGTTTCCATTTTGCCTTGCTGATATTTTTAAGAGTACCCATGTTATTTTAAGTTTTTGCAAAATCACTGTATAGGGCCTTTATTTATGTAAATCTGTAATAAGTGATTGTTGGAAGTTTGCCAGCTGACTCATGTCTCCGTAGCATAAGAGCTGGATTCATAATCTTAGAACTATAGTCAGCTTTTACTTTGCAGAGAGGGATTTCTTCATCCAAAGAGTAAATACGTTTAAAAAAATTTAAAGCCACACACTAAGAGAAAACTGGTTTATTCAGTGCTAAATGTTTTTATGAGAACTAATTTTTAAAAATTCCCTTCTTTCACTCTGTTTAGTCCCAACACAGTGTCTCTTCAGTATAATTTCTGATTTCAGATTCCTTTTGTCAGGAATCTAACAAAAAAAATTTTTTTTCTACAAAAGACACAGTTATCTTAGCCTCCCTAATTCATTATCTGATATCTTTTTATTTCAAATTCAACTTAAATGAAAACCAAATATTGCTCACATGTAAACAATGATGATGACTTGGGACTAAATAGGATTTTCTTCTTTAAAAAGAAATTTTAGCTTAAAATTTTATTTTCTACTCGATATTTCAGGTCCTTATTGTGAGTATTTTTTAATACCCCCACAATGGTGACTTGAAACCATTTTTGGTCACTGGGTCTCTGAAAACATAAGAAAAGTTGGGGATCATCTCTCCAGGAAAATACACATGTACAGAACCCCACACCCGTTTCAGGGGGTTCACAGGTCCCCTCAGCTAACAAGTTAAAACTCTGCTACTCTGCTCAGTGAACTGAGCACTGCTTTTGGGGATGGAGTAAGGAG